CATGGCATGAGAAAACGATACGAACCTTCTGATTGGCCAACATTTGACTGGCCTTTACTTTCTTGAGCATCATCAATTTTGCTTCTTCTAATCGCAGCTCAGCTTCACATTGCTTAATCATGAGGGTTCGCTCATGCCGCTGTTCCGGCGTAAGTTCTTTGCTCATCAACTGAAAAAATGCAATAACACTTCTGTTCTTTTGACTGAAGTGCCAAACTCCGCAATAATCAAGCACACGAACAAAAGGAGAACAAAATTAAGCAATTTATACATGAGCCAAAAGTAGAGGTGGTCACTTGAAGTGATATTCTTAAAAGTAAGCATTCCCCCACTAAACTCGTCTAACTCCGTATGATGTCACCACAGACGAGATTGCAAATACAATTTGGCATCAAATTTCAGAGGGAGCAATTATAATTAAGCAGTGCTAAGTGTTGGCGAAAGTAGTGGCAAGTGGCGCGCTCACCACGCGAGCGGTCCGGGGATCAAATCCTGGGTCGTGAGTCGCCCGGGCCAACCAAGCCTTCCATCCCTCCGGGGTCGGTTAATTGGTACCAGACTTGTCTGGGAGGATAAAAACACTGACTTGTACATCGGCTGGCCCCCGCAAGTCATTGTATAGGCCACATCGCATTCAAACGCCACTGCGAATGTACAAATGGAAGTAGAATGCGTGCCGCATCCCAAAAAGGGATTGATCAACGGCAAATGCTTTATCCTTTTCGCTTTTCACGTGACACTAAAACAGAGAACAAAAAAAACCGATAAAAACAGAGCAAAATTAAAATCACCTTATCGTAGCTAGCTTTCAAAGTCAAAATCTCGTTGTCGTGTAAAGAGGACACTTCGCTCTCATCGGTCAGAGGATACACATTTCCATCGTGTTCCTAGAAAATCATTACAGATAAACAGACAGCTATCATACAAAGAAAAAGGGAACTTCTCGCCACTGTTCTTAATGAAATTATCAATCTTGCAACAAACAATTATACGTGCTCTGCGGAAAGAAAGAACTTGATTTCGATTTCACAACTGACAATATTTTCCCTCCGAGTAAACTGACCATTCAACAGCAGTGCTGGAAATGCTTCAAAGGCCTAATGCATCATTTTGGGAGGTATCAAAAGGAAAGGAGCCAAAGTCAAGCAAATGAAAGAGAACTCATAAATAGTTTCATGGTGAACTGTCCCTCGCTTAGAATTGCACTCACCCGCAGTCCAAACTTATGGCTGAACTGGTCGAAAGCGGATCCAACTTGCAGCCGTCGCTTTTTCGGCGCCGATTCACCACTTTCCTCAACATCCTCCTAAATCACTGCCGTTTTCTCAAATGCCGGTTTCTGAAGGGGAAAAAAACAAGTGAGCACGAGTGATGACTATGCAAATACCGATTGATTTGTGTCGCAGTAATTTATAGCAGCGAAATGCGAGACTAAGAGAGGAAATGTGAATTCGCGGAGAGCAGAAAGTGCTGTCTGCTAGAAACTAAACGCCTAATAAGGTCGGTGTCACGTTGCAAATCCGAATTCGGATT